TCGAAATCTTCGAGAAGTCCTGGATGAACTTCCTGTAGTAGCCTGCTAATCCCAAAAAGCTGCGAATCTCTATCACTGTCTTTGGTGGCTCCCAATCAAGCATTGATGTAACCTTAGCTGGGTCTACTAATATGCCCTCTCTGCTGATGATGTGGCCGAGAAATCTCACTTCTGAAAACCAAAACTCTCACTTGCTGAACTTGGCGTATAGCTGGTGCTCCCGTAGGATCTACAAAGCTAAACGGAGGTGCTGCTCATGATCTGCCTCCGATCTCGAATAAATGAGGATGTCGTCGATGAAAACAATCACGAACTGATCTAAGAATGGATGAAAAACTCGGTTCATTAAGTCCATGAAGACCGCGGGTGCATTGCATAGCGCGTGAGGAAAGCGGTCTTGGGGCTATCCATCTCCCGAACCCACAACTGATGATAGCCAGAACGAAGATTAATCTTCGAGAAAAATCGCGCTCCCTGCAACTGGTCGAACAAGTCATCAATCCTAGGCAGTGGGTACATATTCCGGATAGTGACCTTGTTCAACTCCCGATAATCTATACATAATCTCATACTGTCGTCCTTCTTCTTCACGAAGAGGACTGACACGCCCCACGGAGAATGACTCCGACGAATAAAACCCTGAGCTAACAACTTGTCCAACTGGGTCTGAAGCTCTCTCATCTCAGCTGGTGCCATGCGATAGGGTGCGCGGGATATCGGGGCTGTGCCCGGCTGCAACTCAATACAAAACTCAACCTCTCTCACAGGAGGTAACCTAGATATGTCCTGAAAGACATCCTGATAATCCGAGACAACTCGAGTCTCTAACAAATCAGAACTCTGATCCCGCAGCATCACCCCGTCGATGAACGCCAGAAATAACTCCGCAAAGCGATTGCCCTGAGAAGTGGCCACAATCATCTCGGACCCATCAGAGGCTCGCAATTTGACTATCTTCGCAAAACAATCAATACTAATATGGTAGGACGATAACCAATCCATACCAAGAATGACATCAAACTCGGACATATGCAGAACTATCAGATCGACTATGAACTCCGACTCGTCTAAACTGATGGTACACCTCCTACAAACGCTCTCCAGAAGCGATACCTCACCTAAAGGGGTGAAGACTGATAAAGGGGTGTCTAGAGGCTGAGCTACGAGCTGGAGTCTAGCCATAAATGCATGCGAGATGAAAGAATGCGAAGCTCCCGAATCGAAAAGAATACGGGCAGGAAAGGAATTTACAAGGAACGTACCCTCCACAACTGCTCCGCTGGCACCGTGATCACGGGGAACCACTACATATACTCTGCATGTGGCTGAAGACTGCTCTGCTGCTAATGCTGGAGAATATGGGACAATCTGCCCCTGGGGAGCCTTCTGGACTGCTCGAACCTGTCCCTCTGCCCTCTGCATCGTTGGCGGTGTCTCAAGCCTGGGCTGCTGTCCCTGACCTCTGCCCTGCTGTCGCTGCTACTGGTGGTTCGGGCCCCTGCCCTGCTGAGCTCCTGCTGGTGCACTACGACACTCTGATGCCTTGTGCCCGACCTTGTGGCAGTTAAAACAAGATCCCTGGAACTTGCGCTGCTGATGCGCTCTCTGATCCTGATGGGGTCCCTTCTTATGAGGGCCCTACTACTGCTGATGCTGATGTCCTGTCAAAGGTCTCTTGTTCTTACCCTTATCCCCGCTCTGCCCTGCCTTGGTCTTCCCTTCCTTGTCCTTCAGGAACATAGTAGTCTCAATCTCCTGTGAGGTGGCGGCCTCAGCTACCTCACTAATGGAATAGAACCTCCTCGAGACGAGGTACCGGCGGAGATTAGGGCGTAGCCCTGCTAAAAACATCTGAGCTTGACGCTCTCCTGTCTGCCACATACCAGTGAAATGCAGCAATTCCATAAACCGGCTCTCATAATCTGCCACTGTCATGTCCCCCTGAGTCATCCGGGACTGTAGGCGTATAAAATTGCTTATAGGTCCCTTAGCACAGCTCGGCATAAACCGACAAACCATCGGGCGACGTATCCAAACACGAGCGTCAGTCCACAACACCAAAGCCAAGTGACACGCAATGAAGCGGATTAACGAGGCGACGAGGCTAACGAACCGCACGCAAACAATGGAATACATCCATTCGCATGCAGAATCAAGCAAACAGTTCGGTAAGTCAACGAGTCATCCAACCATAGAAAGGATTTGAACTCAAACACCGAGACGGATTTACTGCCATCCGGATCAACAACGAAGTAGGTTTACTGCCAAATCAGGATTCAGATCAACAAACTAGGAAGTTGCACAATCTCCACCATGTGAAGGAGAGAAAATAAACTAGGAGAGATAATTTCATATGGTAGGGATTGTGCTACATCATTATCAAGGAAGGAAGAGAATCCCCCTCATTGTCAAGGATACCCATTAATATATATATATATATATATATATATATATATATATATATATATATATATATATACTTATATATATTATATATATATATCATAATTAAGATGAGAGAGATGAGAGAGAGTTGAGAGAGAGAGTGAGAGAAGAACGAGAGGAGATGAGAAGAGAGAGAGATGATGAAGAGAGAGAGAGAGAGAGAGAGGAGTAAAGACTCCTATCAACTTAAGTTATGTTCCACAACTTTCCTAACCACTCTTTATTAATATAAAAATATTTCATACGCATTAGCTCAAGGATCCCTTAAGGTAATTCATTGATGTGGCTAAAAAGTTTGAGTGGACAACTTTTTTGCTATTCAATTAAGTTGATACAAGTTTTGCTCTCTCTCTCTCTCTACAACATCACACACACATATGGTGTGGTGTCTGTGTGTATATATATACACAGACGCACACATACATATATACATATGTATATATAATATTATATATATTATATATATATATATATATATTATATATATATAACTATATATATATATATATATATATATATATATATTATTATATATATATATATTATTATATATATATATAATTATATATATTATATATATATTGTGCTGTGTGTGTGTGTGTGTGTCGTGTGTGTGTGTGTGTGTGTGTGTGTGTGGTGTGTTTTTGTGTGGTGTGTGTGCTGTGTGTACTATATGTAATATATGTATATTTAAAAAACGAGGAAGTTGAATGAGGTCCAACCTGGGAGCCTGCTTCGATACTGGGAGTTTCTCAGTGGAGGCAATGAGGAGAGAGGCGAGAGGAAGAGAGAGAGATGGAGAGAGGAGCTCGGCGGCTGATCGCGAGGAGGGCTGAAGGTGGGAAGGAGGAGGGCTGAAGGCGACTCATTTGCAGGAGGCTCGCGGAGAGGAGCTCGATGGCATAAGTTTGCGGAGGAGGAGGGCTGAAGGCGTCAGCGTGAAGAGATGAGAAGGAGAGAAGAGAGGGATCTGGGGAGGGAGAGGGCTTGAGTTCTAGGGAGAGAGGGTGAGGGTACGGGGAGTTTGATATCTCACTTGGGAATTAGGGATGAAAGACAAGATCCAATGACCATTGTTGTTCACGAAAATCCAACGGCCAAATTTCGTTTTCGCACAGCAACAGTGCGAAAACTTTTCGCATCCAAAAACTTCTCTCTCTCTCTCTCTCTACACACACACACACACACACACACACACACAACACCTCCCAATCAACGTTGGGTGCCACTATGGTCGCCATGGAGGTGGCTTCGCAGGCTACTTCACAGCATGCAGACGAGCTACGTATTCGCACGAGGGTGTAACCCTAGCGTTCTCGATGTCATACGAGGTTCGCCTGTTTGACGAGGCTCGCTCGTTCGACGATGTTCGTCTGTTATACGAGGTTCACCTGTTTGACGATGTTCGCTCGTTCGACGAGGTTCGTTTGTCATCCGAGGTTCGCCTGTTTGATGATGTTCGCTCGTTCGACGAGGTTCGTCTGTCAACGAGGTTCGCCTATTTGACGAGGTTCGTTTGTCAAACGAGGTTCATCTGATTTGCTGAGTCGTGAACCTCACGTTACGTAGCAACACGTCCATTGATTGCCTCGTATTCAGGAATTACTACATGCAACAGTTACAACAGCATTTAGAGCAATTTATGATGTTACAATCTTAATTGTCATTGAGAATTGTAACAGTCACATTAATTACGAGTGACTCTTGAGCTGACCTTAGAGACCTATAAATAGCGCCCTTGGGCAGCTCATGAATAGGCTCTTGCGAGCGTGGAATACGAACGTCGGTATACACACGCGAGCTTGGAAAACGAACGTTGGATCGACGTTGTTATTGTTGTATTGCTGCTGCAAAAACTGTGCCCGTGGGAACTTGCCCTTAAACCGAAAGGTTCTGAGATCGAGAAAATCTTTGTTTTGACCGAAAGGTCTCATAGATCGAGGAGATCTTGACAGTACTGGGTTGGTGCACACCAGAGTACTATACTGCTGTTCTTGGAAGCAGTTTGACCTTGAGATCATTGCACCGGAGTAGGCCAAATATTGCTTTAAGCACAGCGTTTCTCAAACGCACAACAGTGGACTTGAAAAAGTTTAAAATTACAACACATCATCCTTCACTGTTTAATTACAGATTTAACCACAATTACCAACATACTAGACACGTATATTGAACTTGAATTTTTTAAGTTTTTTTTTTGGTTTTTAGTGAAAATTTGACTAAGAGGTGGTTGATTGAAACAAAACCTACTTTAAAGACGGTTTTTGTACAAATTAAAAATAAAAGTTGGTTTCCGTATAATTAACCTATTGCAACAAAACCCATGAATTATATGCTTTATGAATTGATTTGCATAGGTGTTGTCTATAATCAAGGATGTCATACCTTACACTAATTTCTATCACTGACCAGAACTTACTAGTAAAAGAGAAATGGACAGGTGTCTCTCTACTACTGGTCTTAAGGTCAGATGCTTTTAAGGACAGTAGCCTGAATTAGGTACAGAGATTTGATCATAGATGGTAGTAAAACTCGTACAAAGCAAGGAGTCAGCAGAGTTGGAAAGCAAAGTTAATTTATAGCGGACACTTTATTACTTTCATGCCCAATAAGTTCCCTTTTGGAAAAAGTACCATTTATTCTTACTTATCTCTAGCTTCTACATAGAAGGTCAATTGCAGGAGAGTACAGGGGAGGAGAGTGATGGATGTGAGCCAGTTGCAGAGAAGTTGGGTTGAGTTCTTAACAGCCCTCTTCAATGAGGTATCAAACTAAATTTACATATAAATTCTTTTTTCTTCCCTTAAGTTGTTACTGTTTTCCGATCTGTGCTTTTTTGATTTGTTATGGCAAAGGGATTTCTTGATTCCCAGTTCAACCAACTTCTGCAACTGCAAGATGAGAGCAACCCGAATTTCGTTGCAGAGGTTGTGACTGATTTCTTTCATGATTCCGAGAGGCTTCTCAATGAGTTAACTGGGGTCCTGTGAGTAATTAGTCTCTTTTTTTCGTTAAACCCTTTTTCCTATTTATTATAATTTTAAGCTTAGAGTTTTCCCTTTGTTTTTTTCTCTTCTATAGAGATCAGCAGATTGTAGATTTCAAGAAGGTGGATTCCCATGTTCACCAGTTGAAGGGAAGCAGTGCTAGGTACCAATTTCATCACAATTGACAAATTATCTTGGACCCATTACTCATAAATTAATACTTTGTAAGGAAACCTGATCATGCAATCTTGATTTAATTATCAGCCTGAACTTGGGATATTTTTGAATGTAGCATAGGTGTAGAGAGGGTGAAGAACATGTGCATTGCCTTCAAAGCCTTTTGTGAGGAGAGTAACAGAGAAGGGTAAATCATGGGCTATCTTTTTAAATGAGGTTATTGCAGGTAGACCCCCCTGTACTATTGCCAAATTGAACTTACTACTCATGTAGTTCTATATTCCAGAAAGGGTTAAAAAAGACTCAGAGGATCTATCTGCAACAATATGAGTAGTAGGGATAGTAAGTTCGATTTGGGTATGGTACATGGAGTCTATCCGCAACTAGCCCTTTTGAAATTAATTTGTTCATTTACCGCAGAAAAAGAAATTAATTTGTTTATACAAGAATCATTCAGCAGATGCCTGAGATGTCTACACCAAGTTAAGCAAGAGTACTTTCTAGTGAAGGACAAGCTTCAAACTCTATTCATGGTGTGCACATAACTTTATCAAAAGTTTTATTCCTGATCAATAACAGATTTTTGATTTAAACTCTGATGTCAACTGGTTCGTCTTGTTGTGTTAATTATAGCTGGAACAGCAAATTGTCGCAGCTGGTGGGTCACCTCCATTGATGTAGCAATCATGTGGTACTTCGCAAGCTAAGGTTGCCAATTATGTTGTGGTTGTATAGAGGACCTTGCCCTTTTGTTGCTTGAATTTTGCCATCTGTTTTGTACCCTTTTAATTTTTTTTTGTCGTTTGTCGAAGTATTAGCTGTTCCAGAGTTCTGAAATTGATTGAGATTTACTAAATTGGATGGTTATTACATTTCAATTTACATAGTTTTGGATGTCAACAGCTTATTGACAGGAACGCCAATACCTTTTTAAGCGGAAATGGCGTCTAAGACTAGGATTTAAGTCATAAGCATAAACTAAAAAGGCGAAAGATAAAGATTCTAGCCGATTAGATACATGAGTAAACTACAAGTTTTTGAAGAGACATGAATAAAATATAAGTTGTTGTTACTGTCTATGATTTTAAATAGGAAAGTTACCTTAAGGAGATCTGTCACTTGTATAGTTTGTGATCCTTTTTAAGATCTTGGTTGTCTGATCCTGTCCAAAGTCAAACTCTTCATTTTTTAACAGATGCACACAGATAAGCATATTTCCTTCATAGTTACTAGTCGCATGCACAAAAATACGTACTATCTCGATCAAACTTTTCTCTAGAGAGAATCTCCAATTTATGATCCTTTAAGATTTGTTACCTATATAATAGTCTAATTTACGATCCTTTAAGATTCTGATTGTTTGATCCTGTCCAAAGTCAACCCTATTTTCAACTTAATTTTTAAACAGGTATACAGGATAGCATCTTTCCTTCAATAAGCAAAAGATCTACAACCTAGAGTCGTTTACTGCAAAAGTACTATTTTCTATCTGTTCCTGGGAGCAAATTATAGATGAATTAAATTTTGCAAATGGTGCGTCCTGTTAATCCTTTATGTATAGTGCCAAAAGGTTATAGCGGCAGACGCATAAACAACTTAATTTAATTTATCCTGTAGAATATTTCAAACGAGTAAATCACTTGTATAATGTTACTAAACAAGTAGAATTGATCAAGCTACATTATTATGAGCTTAGAACCTGTTAGGTTCAGAAAGAAACACTTTTTATTGATATTTCACTTGATTCATATTACAAGAGACGAGAACAGATGCTTGCAATACTGTAGCAGAGCAATACAGAAAGCGTCGCTTATACGTAGGAACAAAGGAGGTATATGCACTGTCATTATACCTAACAATATATTCCTCAACATTTTTAGTCCAAGAATATAGACTGAAGCACTGCTAATACGATGATTTACTTCATTAACCTAGATAATAACTAATAGCAAAAGTATCTCACGTGCTGAAGAAGTGATGTAGAACACATAACAGACATGTTTATGTCAAAGTGGGACAGTCGCAAGCCCAAATGCGGGCCTGGTCGAAGAAAATAACTTGTTTCGAAGAAACGGCCGTAACTTTCAAACCGTACGTCGGAATTTGACGAATTATATATGAAAATCGACTATCTCAACAAGACGGAGCCATCCAAATCTATCCTTTTGGGTTCGGTTTTCGTTTTTTGTTTCGCCAAATTCCTTACGGTTTGAGAGATATTTACATTTTTGTCAGTTTTTTACTATTTTTAGTAATATTTTAGGAGTCTGTTTTGTTTAGGAAACAAATCCGGTTTGATCTCATATTTGATCGGTGGACTTTCCTAATCATAATGAGTCTTTTTAGGAGTTTTAATATTTTAGGAATTCCTTTACTATTTTTGGTAAAGTTTGAGTCATTGTAGGAATTAGAGTACTTGTAGGAGTTTTGTTTTCTTTTCTAATTAAGAAAAGTCTTGTAAGCCCTAGAGGCATAACTTTTTCATCAATATAATTTCTCTTTTCAATATTTTCTTCGTGGATTCGAAGTTCTTCGTGGATTCGAAAATCGTTCTTTGTGGATTCAGAGAACACCCTTGGTGGATTCCGAGGTTATCACTTCCGCGCTACGTCAAGAAGCCTCTCTCATAGCCTAAATTTCTTTAGCCTTTCACTGATCTCCCTCCGTCGGGGCAAATAACTTGACCAATAATATAAGAAGCAGCAGACATACAGAGAAACGCTGCAAGAGATGCCACTTCCTCAGGCTCTCCGGAGCGCCGTAGAGGAGTTCTAGAGACTTCTTTTGCTGTTGCCTTCTCGTCATTCACGAGCTACAACAAAATGGAATTAAGTCAAATTAATTGGCTATATCTAATCTCATGTTTTATTTATGGACAGTCTAAAGAACTTAATTACTGGTTGAATGAGTGGTGTTCTTATCCATCCAGGCGCAACGCAATTTGTTCGGATATTGTCTTTTGCTCGCTCACACGCCAAATTCTTCGTTAGCTGATTTATTGCTCCTAAAGGGGAAAAAGTGAAGCTACAATTAAAATTAGATTTTAGGGGGTAATATTGCCAAATCTTTTATTTGTACCTTTGGATGCTCCATCAATGGTCATGTAATCTTTTATGAGGTGGTTAGGGGCACACCACCCACCCACCCCAACCACACTCCCCCTCTCATTGCTTACAGTAAACCAGGCCCACATAAGATTTTTAAAAAATTTAAATCCCATGTGGGGGCATGGTTACTGTAGCAGATAGAGGGGGGGGGGGGGTGGTTGGGGTTGTGGTGGGTGAGTGTGGCCTCAACATCTATTTATCTTTTATTTGTACCTATAGGAGATGTTTACAATTCTGCCCATTCCGGACGCCTTCAGAAGAGGATAACCTAGCTGGCATAAATGAAAAGCTGACTCAAAATTTGTAGCCATGGTCCATGAGTACTAGCCATGATCCATGAGTACTCCTCTAAAGTACAATCAATGGTAGGCTTGAGAACACCACTTCCTGCATTATTATTAAGGATAAATTTTCAAAAGAGCCATATTTGCAAACTTATTCCCTAGAAACGACCTTTTTTAATTTCATTTGTCAAAACTGACCTGGTTAAACCAAGTAGGTTTTGACGAAAAAAGTTCCCAAACTTCATGGGACTTCAAGTCCCGTGAAGTTTAGCAGTCATTTTGTTAAGCTGCTAAACTTCGCGGGACTTGAAGCCCTGTGAAATTTCAAAGTTCAAAAAACTTCACGGGACTTCAAGCCCCATGAAGTTTTAGGCTCATTTTCTAGAGAAGCGCGGCTCTGGAAAATGAGAACTGCAACTCCACGGGACTTCACTCAGCCTATATAAGGCAGAAGCGATCTCGCCTTAATTCAAATTTTTTGTATATTCTCACAATTTCTTGGTGATTACTTGTAAAAAATTAGATTTTTAAATAAATTTGTAATTATTTATGAAATTTGTGAAGAAAAATTAAATAATATTGTGTACGAAGTTAGAGGGGAAATTATCAAAATTTATAACCGTGAAGTTAACAAAATATCAAGTTTATGGGTTTCTAATATCGATCTAAGAGATTTAATGTTTAAAATTATGGGTTTCTAATATTGATATTGAATTTTTTACTCTTCAGAGGTAACGATGAACGTTCGAATCGTAATTCTTTGTTCATATGATGGGAAGATTAACTATCTCGAAAATAATATGCCCGTTTATGAAGGAGGTGTCACGAAGCTGTTGTTTATATCAAAATCGTTTACTTTCGATGAATTGGTTAATGAGTTGCACAAACTTACATTAACCAACTCACGTGAGTATCACCTCAATATTCTTGTTGGGGGGAACATAACAAGCGGCATTCAAATCTCAAGTCATTGTGATATGGGGTCTCATTGGAGTGTTACACGATGAGAAGCGTTCAGTAGAATTATTTATTAAAAAACATCAGAGAAATTTGGGCAAATCGATGAATCACGACGGAATATACTCCCGTATGTTGGAGTACCTTGAAGTTGACTCCGTTGGGTTTTTATCTTCACAACAAGATGAAGGTTGGACTGTAGGATGTCTAAAAAACACTATATATAAGTGATCCCCATCAAACACTAATGATGGAAGTTACAACCTGATGACTTTCACATCACTAATCCAACGATGAAAGCTACAATCAGATGACTTTCACGTTAATAGATGAAGGATACAATTGGAAGTTTTTTAGGTAGATCGAGAAAGGTTACAATCTGACAATCTTTACGACAACCGATGAAAGCTATGATCAACAACCTTCACAAACAACAGCGGGAGTTACAATCTGACGACTGTCACATTTCAAGAAGCCAAGATGGAGATTACAAGATGACGATCTTCATAAATGCTCTAACAAAAGAGACTACAAGTCAATAGTCTCTTCAATTCAAGACACAAAGCTCACATTTGCGTCTCAGAATCAAGATGCAAAGCTCACATTTGCATCTCAGAAGCTAGACGCATAGCTCATAACTACATCCTAAATTTCAGACGCAGAACTCATCTGTGCGTTCCAAGAATAAAATGCAAGAGTCAACCTTGCGTTCCAGACTCAAAACACATGGCTCATCACTGTATTTTTCAGCCTCAAGGGCAGAACCCAACTCTGCGTCCCAGGTAGGGATGCTAAACCATATCCGTATCCGAGAAAATATCTGTAACCGTATCCATTAGGATACATATATGGTTACTCAAATCTATAATCGATAGGATATGGTTACATATATGATTTTGTAGTGAAATATCCGTATCCGTACTAGAAATATCTGAATACATATTAGTCATACTTTTACTATAGTTTCGATTCTTAGATTATGGATTTGTGGTTAATTTTGATGATCAAGATGTCTAATCTTAACTTTTCATTACAATGAACATATTAACGAACTCTTTTGCATCACATGAACTATGTTTTTCTCAATACTATCTAATTTTCTCATATCTGTTTTGTATCTACATGCATATCCGCTTATATATTCGTATATATATCCATAACCGTATCCGATTTTAGCGGATATGGTTATAAATTTTTCTTACCGAGGTATATCCGTATCCGTATCCGTATCCGATATGGGTAAGCGGATATAGATATGGTAAGCATCATTCCAAGCCTTATCCGGACCAAATGCACCCTTAATCCCAGGTCCAGAATGCAGAGTTTGTGCCCAGAACGTAATTCTTACATTTGACTCGTTCAAACACGAGCTGAACGATTTCAAAACTATTTCTCTAAGATTTGAGGGGATCACTCCCCCACTTAGGAGTGAATTAAGGGGGCGATTACACCCCTTAATCTCCTATAAATAGCTAAAAATCAGCTTAAAAGAGATCTTTTTTAGATCTTCGAATTAGGGGAGGGGGGCTCTTTTTGGATCTGGGAGCACTTTCGGATCTTGGAGAGATCGGCATTCACCCTTGGAGATCTGGGATTATTTCTCGACAACAGAGATCTTTGGATATTTTCTTCATCTTTGGCTATAAACCGATTTCGGTTAAATCAAATTAAAACTTTCAAAGAGTTTTCAACTCGCTCTGAGTTCTTTAACTCGTTAAGAGTTTCACACTTGCCACACAAGTTCTCCTCAACGTCAACTAAGAGGAAGATATCGTGTTCCACAAGGTGAAGCATTTGGATCATCAATGGGATTCAAGGATTTGAACTCCCATCGATACCAAGAAGAACCCAGATTAAACAAAGGGAAGGGTCTTCGTCGATCCCCTCTCTCTTTTGTAAATCGGAAAACCGATTGAGAGAAATTATAATTTTTCTAAGCTAGTTAGAAAGAGATTACATTGAGAGAATTGTAACTCATTCTTTTTCTAAGTCTGTTAGAGAGAATAAAACAATTTCAGTCTTAATTTTCTTCTTCATTTTCCCCACCAAACATGGACACAATCACAATATGTGAGCGGTCCTTCGTTTGTGGGCACTTCTAATATCGATACTAACACGACCCATCTAGATGATAATACAAGTGTCGAATCCGAAGATGGTGATGAAGAGGATGGCTTACAAATTAATAGCATGACGTGTTTGATTGATCGTGATGAAGGGGACAACCAACACATTAACAAATGTTATACTAATAATGAGTATGACGTGTTTGATTGATTCCTTGTTCACATGTTGTCACATCTTGCTCTAATATCTACAGGGTAGTGCGAGGATTTCACATTATGAATTCGTCACAAATTGGGGAGTGTACTATCATATTACAGGACGTAGCCGTCATACTTGGGCTCCGCATCGATGACCCGACAGTTATGAGCACCGATGACCATATTTGGGCTGAAGTATGTGCTAGGATTCTTGGTCAGGTTCCCGACTTGAGAAGTGGTGCGATGAAGCTATCGTGGCTTCGCACGACATTTTAGGGAGATATACCAGGTGATGCATCCATTGAGACGCTTTAGTATCATGCTCGTGCATATATATTGCACATGATAGGGTGCATGTTATTTCCTGATGCGATCAAGACTCTTGTACATGGACGATGACTGCCATTGCTAGAGGATTTTGTCTATGCAGCGCACTATGATGGGGTAGTATATACAGTGTTGGCATACTTATATAAAGAATTGGGTAGGGTATCCTTGATGCAAAATAAAAAATTCAAGGGATGCTGCACATTGATACATATTTTTTGGTCATGGGAGGGCATTCATATTGGACGATCTACTTTGCTTGTGCACCGTGACCTACATGGCCAGTTTTCTTTGACATACATGTATAATTATCCACACAATTTTATTCATATTGAATTTGTACTCATATATTCTTTATGCCAAATAGGTATAACGTGTAGTACGCTAAGTAAAAATCAGCGACGCGACATCGTGAGTTTTACCGAAATGAGCTTGATGGCCTCCAACACGAACATGTAAATATAAATATCAAGTCATTATGAATATTATAGTTTTTTTGTTGATAATGATAAATATTTTATCTTATTTAGTTCAAGTGGAGACCCTATTCACCGTCAGAGCTCGATATGCATACTCTTGCACCTATCTGTTGAGATAGTCCCGACTTGTGGAGATCTAGAGTTCCATTGATCTGTTGGGAGATTGTGGAGATGCATGTCCCCGACCGTGTGCTACGGTAATTTCTGCTCTCTCAGCATGTGTCGGATCCTATCGAGCAGATCGATCGTAGGCGATAACCTACATCGCATCGTACAGACTGGGCCGTACTCTGTGCCGCCTACATAGACAAGTGGATTCACAGGTGGGATTTCATACAGGATATGAGAGACACACCTGTTGACTATACCACGTATATGCATTGGTATTGGGATGTCATACGTATATGGATCACGCATGACCCACAACCATCTGACACCTGCCACGCCCACCGACATATAGTTGCATCCCTAGTAGGATGATCGAGAAAGATTATGTAGGTTTCTAAGCTAAATTAAAACAATAATTTTTTTATTAAGATGTTATTTGCTAAATCGTGTATATATTGTTTAACTCGCAGGTCCATGCTTTTGATGATATTGAAGCTGATATTGATGAGCACATGCCAGAGATTCAGGATCCGACGGCGTTAGGGGTCTTCAATAGGATCAAGCAGAGAATAGCACA